AAAAAATTTTGATATTCATATAGAATATAGTATATAAAGAATGGTATATAAAATATAAACGTTTATCTTTTAAAAAAAATTTTGATATTCATATAGAATATAGTATATAAAGAATGGTATATAAAATATAAACGTTTATCTTTTAAAAAAAAATTTTGATATTCATATAGAATATAGTATATAAAGAATGGTATATAAAATATAAACGTTTGTCTTTAAAAAAAATTTTGATATTCGTATAGAAGGTTCTATAGGTTATCGCAAATGAAATATGCAATCTATAAGATGAAGAAATGTATTTTTATACTTAAGATGAAAATTCTCTTGCACTCGATTTATTAAGAGTTTAAGTGCAAATAACTACAATAGATAAATATCATATTTTTAGTAAAAACACTTAATTGAAATAATGTCATTCTTTGTGTATAAGATATTTATAATCTTTAACAAAATCGTTCCAGTTCTTGAGAGAATACATTAAGAAATCTCAGAGTCACAGCATGTATTGTTGCACAAGTAAACTTCCAGATACGGTGCCCTGTAAATTGCAGAGGTCCGTACCAAGAGGGAATATTTCTATGTATTTTTCAAGAGTAGCTGCATGATACACTTATTTGCAAACATTTTCACATGCATACAACAACAAAGATTTGTTTTTAGTTGTTGTTGCCTGTGGTATGAATGTTTATAGTCCCAGTACCTGTGTCTGAAGTTATATAATACTTCTTCAATTGTATATATCATTAAGTGTTATATTTTTTGTTAAAAAAGAAGTCAAATAATACATATTTAAAAAAGTACCAGCTAAAGAATATACAGAACCAACCATAACCATTACATTTTGCTGGAAGAATATAGTAACAGACCATAAAAATAGAACATTGTAATTACAATATGTATTCATAAACTCTTTCAGCATGTAACCATTTGTGCTTGTTATACTTTTCATGCTATAACTTTTAAATTAGTAAGCAAATGTTAATGAAATATGGCAGACTATCAATAAACATTACAATACTTTCATACATAAAATATCAATTTTTTTTATTAAGTCTTAAGGTTTGTAAAGCAATGTTTTTCTCTTTTTTTTTTTTTTTTCATTTCACATGTTGCTTATCTAT